CGCCATTGTACCTAGTACCGGTACTGCAATGTTCTTGGTTCCGATACTACGGGTAGTATATTCAAACCTCATATCGTTGCTTTGGCTCAACTCGCTCGTACTGACATGAACATTCGTCGGATGGAATTGAGCACATCATTTCAATACTACCTATGTGATCAATACGAAGTACAAGCAAAGTTCTAAGGCAGTTATATCGCTTGACGTCGCTTGATATGAAAGGTTGATGCACGTCATACTGTACCGGTAATGGTAACTGACATGAACACATGCTTTCACGGCTAAAACGTGCGGATGTACCATGCAGTTGTCACGATTTCGATATCATAATGACCAATAAATGTATTGTTGATGTCATAATTTTATTATAGTGTCAAGTGAGATTTGTCAGCGAACATTGGAATTCAATATTGCAACAGTGAACGTCAGGAGGGAAAGGGGTATTTCACGTCTGCACTATCTCCTCCGCCCACAGGACGAATATGACGCTACAATATAGCTTATATGGTAGCTTAATGTTGTATCCACCACATAGGACTATTCGTGTTCGAATTGGTTCATTGGGTCATGATCCTTTGATGTCGACCCGAAACTCTTACAGGCCGCCCAAACATACAGTACCGTAAGTCGCTGTCGTCGCAGTTGTCATCGTCGCAGTTGTCGTCGTCGCCACAGTTCCTAAACATGTTAGATGCGATTCATTTCCTTGTATTGGATGGTGTTGATGAACACCGAGGAAGTGTTGGCTACGAGTGAAATTGGGAAATGACTGCAGAACGACACTTTCATCCGCATATATTTACCGTACGAGTAGTCGGTTGGCTGCTGTGTTCAACCTAACCCGTGTTACGATGGATTCAATTCGCATTCTTCAATTTGCATTGTTCGATGCACTTCGATTTTATTCGACCGCAACTTATCCAGTTCTCGGCCCACTGGCCATTAGAGCCAAATCTAACTGTAAATCGCCCAACGAAAGCACGTGAAGAATATAATCGAATTTCGTAGTAGAAGTTGACTTGCGACATTCGGAATACTTCAGTCAAAATAGAATTAAATTTTCTTGTCTCAATATAGTTTATATACGAGTAATGTTTATGGATATTCGACCCTTTGCGCAAGTGTTTGCGCAACCCCTGAAACATGATATTTATCGAGTTTTGACGGTACTTTTGGTTTTGAGGTCATGGACTCCGACACGATGGAGTCGAAGGTGCAGTACAATGCTCACTCAGCATTAATCCAGCGTCGTGGTCAACCACAGCGTACGAAGGACCAATGAAACCAGGTACGCCACCCATGACATCGCGAAAGGCCATTATCAATGAACCATTGCTCAGCAGTAGCGCAGTCACACACGAAGGGACCGATGGCACAACAGACCCGAACGGCACAACCACGACAATGCAACCAGGTACGCCACCCTCTGTACCACGATAGATCACTCTCAAAGAGCCATAGCCTACGACGTCCGAATGCTGCGTGAGAAGGCCCGAGACTAAGGCCGAGATGAACGACAAGGTCACAATGGTAGGAGTCAATTCTGCTCCATACATGCTGCTATATCACCCGTTGCACTGTGCAGGACACGTCGAAAGTCAAACATGAAGGCCGTTGAAACACCGTGCGTGCGCCACACATACTGTATCACGCGTTGCACTGTGCAGGACATGTCGAGAGTCAAACATGAGGCCGTCAAAACATCGTGCGTGCGCCACACATGTGTTTTTTGTATGATAACTCACGGCGGCACAGAGGACGTGGAAAATGACCGATACAACGTGAGGTAGCTCATTTCGTCCATGCGCCGCGCTTCCCATTCGTCGTTGCTTGTAGGGATGCCCACTGACACGGCAAATTTTTTGTAGCACGCCAGGAACTCGGCAGAGCTGTCGTTTGGGTCAAGTTGGGAGATAATGTACTCCGTTTTGTCGGAATGCTTGACGAGTGCATTGATAATTAATTTTCTCTTGGCTTTCGAGAAATTCGACACATCGCTTGAGTTTGATAGATCTCGTGACTTGACAAACCTGAGAGGCGGTATATGATCGGAGGGTACTCCACGCCACCACACCATCCACAACTCGGACAATTTACATTTTAGGAACCGAAATTGAGTGGGAAATC